CACGTTTTGAGCAGCGTTTCCCATGCTCCCATCACGGGTTGGAAGTGTTACATTTTCCACCTCAGGCTTGTCTTCTCACAAAAAGGGCGCTGTGGCCTTTGAAGTCGTGACCTTTTGTGCCCGGGCGTGTTCACTACCGCCATGTTTTCCGTTCGCGTTTTGGCAGCATTGTTCTATGCTCTAATCATGGGTTGGAAGTAAATAAAATGCCTTAGCACACCTCTTATACCTTGGTACAGTACAACTTCTCGCTGATCTTGACTCTGCAAGCGATTCAAAATACGTTTTGAGCAGCGTTCGCAGCACTCACGTCGCGGTTTGAAACTCTTGCATGGTATTCTATATATTAGAGTAATTAGACGGAGGCACCCCCTGCATAACATATTATCCTGCTACCTTTGCTAGCTACTGGGAAGACACAGGTGGTTGGTGATGCTCTGATCCCCTGGAATACATATTGTCTTGGTCGTGTGTGATTGATATAATTTGTATTGTATCTCTTATAAATGATCCGAGGTCTAATACTCCCATAATTATTATTTGGTTTAAGCTTAACCTAGATTTGTGGCATACAGTAATTGTTACCAAGGATATTCGTAGGGTCCTATTAATCTTTGTTCCCCGTCTGTATCGCCAGGGATCCGTGCTTCTTATTGTCAAGTTATTTTTTTTTATATCCTGAGGTTGAAGATATAGCAAAGCTTGGAACTCTCCTGCTAAACTTTTAAATCCCAGCCAGCTTGTAATGATTATAACCACCTTTGGGTGGATTTCGCTGTCCTGTGCGTCCTCCTCTTGAATTAAATTTCGGGGTTTCTCCAGAAATCTCATTAGTCCCCATTGGTCTTGCCGCTGTGTTTTTTTTTAATTATATGTTATTACTTCCCAAGCCAGCTTGTGAGTATGAAACTCCAAATGTCTTTTGTGTGGGCGAGACAGTGGTGGGGGGGGGGGGGGGTGATTCACCACGTGGTTGTGCCACAGCGCTAAATTCTTAAAAAAACTATTCCATTAAAAATAGTCAGACTCACTCTTAATATAAGTTTTATGAAAAGGCATACATACAACAATGTGAAATTGTTTTTGATGCCCTGCATCTACATCAACCATACGACATAATACGTTACACCTGTATATGCAATAGCCTACATTTCTGAAAGTGACCATTGTTCAGAGCACATATATCAGTAGCAAATATTTTGAGCAGATAAGGATTCGATAAGGATGTGCATGCACAGGGCGCTCATTAAAATGCTTCAGCAACTCAAAGCACACTGAATACCATCTCTTTGTAATTTTAATTTCTATCGCACCTTGATTAAAGCGCTGAGCAAATACTAAAATACAGTATTTGTAAAACAGAACAGTGTGATATGAGATACGTTCATGAGCAGGATGGTAGTGCAAAATGAATATGATGGTACGTGAAATAAACGATGTTGAAAGAAAGTGACAATGAGTGGTTACGATGAGTGAATATGATGAATGGGTAGGAAAGATGGGGAGGATAATGGTGTTAATGATTGGGAATGTAGGAGTAACAGGAGTTTGGGTAAGCAAGGGAAGAGCATGGAGGGCAGCTTGTTCCAGTGTAAGGGGACCAGAAACGAGAAAGAATGGAATCTTGTCTCAGCCATTCCGTTCCCTGCTGCAGTCTACCATCGTGGACTCCAAGTGGCAGCCTGCAAGTGGGAAATCTGTCAGTCGGGGCGATGCTGACGTGTTTCATTTCCCCCCCAAATTGGTGAATTCTCAGGTAACATGGTAGATTGATAGATGCTGCCCCCCGCCTCGTGATTCATCCCCTGCCCCATAAATGTGCTGCCCTCGTCACTTGACTCACCCCCTGTCCCCTCTAGGTGGTGCCCTTACCTCCTGCCCCCGCCCTGCCGCCTCAAGGTGCTGCCCAGTGGCGGCTCCTGCAAAATCTCTCAGGGGGGGGGGGGGGGGGGCAAATGTCTGGATGATTGATAAGGATAAGGTCCACCCATGCAATGGATAAATTAACAGCTTAAGCATGTAAAGGCAACTTCACTTATTTAATATTAATGAAAAATAAAGTGACTCTTACAATACATCTTGTTTGTTTCTATACTCACTATTAATACAATCCACTCAGTTTCTTTGATTAAAGATTCCACTAGGTGGCGACAAATAATATTGTTGACTTATGTATGATGACGTAAGCACGTTAGTGCGAGCCCTCCCGGAAGCCATAGAGAATGCATTGCAGCGCCCACCGTTCGAAAAAAAAACATCTTTGAATGTAAGTCTATGGGAACACTCTGGGCGATTCTCAGCCGGAGTGAAATCGCCCAAAAAGAGGCGGTACTCCACAGAACGTGACATGACGCTGATTGGACTATATCCAGAGGCACAGTAACGGCTCGCGAAACTCTGTGGTTGAATGACATTGGTGGTGCGTCGCCCAATCGCCCAAATGATGAAACCGCCCCTGGTGCTGCCCTCAACTAACAACAACACTTGATCCAACATTTTTTTCGAGGTTATACGGGGGATCTTTGTTTATATATAATCAGTATCTGTGAGTGTGGATGCATATGTTTCTGTGTGTCTATGTTGTGCGGATCAGTTGGTTAACGCGCTGCACTATGAGTTCTATTCCCGCTCACGGCCAACACCAGTGACGATTATTTGAAGCGGTTCTGGGCCTCCCCTAGACCGACTAAGTCTCAAATGATTACCTGGTGTAGTGTGTAAACATCGCCACTCGGGAGACAAAGGCAGTCGGGCCTTGTGATAGACACACAACCCCTCGTGTACTGTTCCGGCCTTCATATGTGCTCCCTAACAGCACTTTCCTCATTCGTCTGATAAGACTATATGGGGGATTATTGCCTTGTCTATGTTGGTCAGTATAGTTTCGTTTCATTACCTCGAGGCTGGGTTTGTTCTAATGGTTGCCAACTATTGCCCCTCAAGCGCCTGGGTTGGGCAAACATCAGCTCACCATTGCATGCTGATGCAGACAAAGCCATTCAAGTTAACCACTATTGACTGATGGCATTAATTCCCAACGTGACTTATGCCAAAAGCTCTTTTATTCTGAACCAGTCTTACTGGTCGACATTTTTTTCAAGACTAACAATACTTAAATATTTTATTAAGAGGGACAGATATGTGAATAAGTCATTGTCTGGTAGTTTATTTTGATACTTATATTCTCCGTGATGACGATCATTAATTCGTGTTATGTATTTGCTAACTTTGCGTTTAACCCTTATATAACTGAAAGGGTCAATGCCATCAAACATCTTGCAGTTAACCAGCATTGTATCAAGCAAGGCTCATTCTGCTGATGAGGCTCTGAATGTTCAAACTGCTTCAGACATGTGCTTGTGTTAAACGAATGCTCATTAAAAGCATGCACTCACAGAACACCGTATAGCTGAATATATTTTTTTACTTGGAGACACAGATAAGTGAGTAATTTGTATTTGTCTGCTAACATATTTTCTATACAACTATTTTGCTACAAGTATAAGTAGAAAATAATGTTGACAGTCTTTACGCATTTAGCTCTATTTATAACATAGTCAGACTAACTCTCGTTAAGATGAGCCATTATGAACTAGCTTCAGTATCATATTTTATTGGTATGAAAAAGTTAATAATAATCAGTTATGGTTAATACATTACTGGATTAAGAGTTCCCGAATTAACTGTCACTTTTCTTGAATCCACGATTAAAAAAATCCACCTAAAATGTGGAATCTGAAACAAGAGACAGTGTTGAGTAGGATTGAAAGCTCTCTATCTGAATCCGTTGTTTTAGCAGAGTAATATTGTACCCTTTCCCAACAGGGCAGCAAGCTAACTAATATTTGATTTTTAGGTTTTCCCCAGATAATGATCTGGCCAATTTGTTGTCATAAAATGCACTGCAATGGTGACCACGATATTAGTGACAGTCAGTAAGCGAGTGGCCTGAGTGAATCAATTATTGCTCGATCATCTATTATTTTATTTTTTACTCGGTAAGGCTGATTTTTCGGAAGCGACCTGGCCACAAATTAGAGCTTAATGAAGTGGCTTATCACATGGAAATGTATATCAGAAAATACTCTTAACGTATGTTGGTTTGAAATGTGGATGGTAAAACTGGAGGACCTGGAGAAAAACCCATACAACAGTCGTTTATGTCGGGATCGAAACCACGTCCTCCTGCATACCAGGTGAGGGAATTAACATCTCGCAACTGTGGCGCCCCTGTTGGCACAGAAAAGAAACCCAAGCTTCTTCGATGCATTGTTAGGCAGATGAGCAATATAGCCGTTCCATGAAATGTAAGGTGAGATTAGTGTGCCTCGCGGATAAATAGTTTTACTATGGATGAAAATGTAATTGTTAAATGTAATGAGAGGAACTGATTGGATTGATTATTGCTGCTGCTGGTGATAATTATTAATCCGCATTCCATGAGTTGGAAAATGAGATTGATTAACAACTGTTGTAGAGTCCTACATGGATGTAATTCCCACTTTAACCCACAACCCACTTCAACACCACCACCTTACCCACTACTCGACCCAATACACTTTCATTAGCCGCGCAACAAAAAAGACTAAACCCGCACATTTGTTTCATAATTTCCGTCTGTGTTCGCTATAAACGTAATCCTTCCAGTATTACAAAGCTTACTGGAGGGCTAAAATAATGAGCTGTTACCCTCATGTCGTGCTCGCAGCTACTAGAAGAGTAAATAATAAAAATCAAACTCCGCTTGCGTTGGAGGCTCGCGTGGTGGGAAACCATCTATGACGTCTCCTTGCCAAACCACATTCGGAGGCGCTAGGAGACTATTGAGGAAGTATGGTGAGCAATCCAGAGACACAAATAAAATGAAGCCACAGACAAAGATGACCTCCAAAGTGAACTGCTGCAGGAGGTTGGCGAATTTTTACAGGCTGCCCGATATTGATATCGTTAAAACCATCTGGACTACAGGTGCATTTCACACCCCATAACTAAATGTCAAGACCACACCCACGCCCACTCTAACACATACCTCTTGACGTATGCAAATTCCTTTTGAGAATGACAAAGCTACACCTACTGATACACAGACACACACCTGTTGAGAAAAACACAAGCACACACATACACACTCGTTGAGAAAGACACACAGACATCTGCTCAAAGAGACAGGAGCGCACACACATTCACCTGCTGAGAGAGACACAGAGATACTACCAGGCACGTGTTGAGAGAGACAGAGACACGCACACATTCACAGAGATCAAGGCAAATAAGTCATGGCCACGTCGTCTCCGTACCCACGCATGCCGCTCCCGTTCATCATGACAGACGACACCGGGAGATTCTACATCAACAAGGACACGGCGCAGGTTCTGGGGAGAATCGAGAAGCCCCTGGTGGTGGTAGCGATAGCTGGGAAATATCGAACCGGGAAATCCTTTCTCATGAACCGACTCGCGGGTAAGTGGTTGAGTGAGTGAGTGATTGGGTAATTAAGGTGGATCAGTTTGTGATTGGATGGATCAGTATTTTAGTTCCAAGTTCGGTGAGTAAATGCTTGAATGGATGTCAGGATCACTAAGTGGTCTTGTGAAGTCGTCTGTTAAATGTTTGGGTGTTAGATTGAGTATCTGATCATGAGCGGGAGTGATTGATAGACATGGATGTCTGGTCAGATGATTATGCAGTCGTCAAGTGAGCCAAGTGCATTAGAGGATGAGCAATTTCTGAGTATCTAATCAAGTAGCTTAAAGCTAGGGACTCGCAATTTAAAGATTGCGAGTTCAAATCCTTGTTGATGGTTGACTCAGATCATTAGAAATCTTAGGTTAATTAAATGAGTATCACATTATGGGAAAGTCAACAATCTTAAAATTGTGTACGAAACGCACCCGTCCATATGAATGTAGAATTTCCACCACTGTTTCTGTGCTCTAAACAGGTGTTCGGCACCATATCGATAATAATTTGAATAAATGTTGCCTCTATCTGGTCGGAAGAGTGTCAGGTCCGGTTAATAGTTGGGTGAGTGTCAGGTTAGAATCCTTGCATCATATTGAAGACATTGTTGTTCTGATTCTGGTGCGGGAGTGAAGCGTTGGTAACTGGTTAGCAGGCAAATCTTTGAACCCAGTGACCTGAGTCTAATTCGCAACCATCACTAACGTCAGTGTCAAGTAGTTGCTGAACTTGTTCTGGACATTCCACTTCGGGGTATGAGCAAACATTTCATGTGACCATTCATCCAGCAGTGCAAGCCTTCATCAGACTCTGATCACATTTACAAAGGCACAACACTTCAAACGTGTAGATAAGAACCAACACGTGGGTGCGTTGGTTGGGTGAGTGGGTAAGTGGGTGGGCGAGTGGGTGAGTCGGTGAGTGGGTGAGTTCGTTGGTGGGTGGTTGGGTGGGTGATTGGGTGGGTGAGTTGGTAAGGGGGTGGGTGAGTGGGTGGGCGAGTAGTTGGGTGGGTGACTGGATTATTTGGTGAGTGGGTGGTGAATGGGTGAGTGAGTGGGTAAGTGGGTGGGTGAGAGGGTAGATGAATGGGTGAGAGGGTAGATGAATGGGTGAGTGGGTAAGTGAGTGGTTGGGCGAGTAGGTGGTTGGGTGGGTCGATTATTTAGTGAGTGGGTAGGTGAATGAGTGAGTGGGTATGTGGGTGGGTTAGTGGGTGGGTGAATGAATGACTGGGAGGGTGAGTGAGTTGGTGGGTGAGTGGGTGGGTGGGTGAGTGGATTATTCAGTGAGTGGTTTAATGGGTGAGTGACTGAGTGCGTGGATGGGTGGGTGAGAGTGTGGGTTGATGAGTTGAGGAGTGAGTGTGTGGGTGGGAGGGCGATTGGGAGGGTGAATGGCTTGATGGGTGGGTCGGTGGGTGAGAGGGTGGGTAGGTGATTTGGTGAGTGGGTAGGTGAGTGTGTGGGTGAGTAAGTGAGTATTTGGTTGGCTGGTTGGGTGAGTGGGTGGATCAGTGGGTGGGTGAGAGGGTGGGTTGATCAGTGGCTGAGTGGGTCGGTGAGTCGTGTTGTGGGTTGATTGGTGAGTGGGTGGGTGAGTAGGTGGGTGGTCGAGTGGGTGGGTGAGTGGGTCGGTTGGTAGGTAAGAGGGTGGGTGAGTGGTTAGAAGTTGGGTACGTGAGTTGGTGAGTGAGTGTGTGGGTGGGTGAGCGAGTGGGTGGATGGTAGGGTAGGTGAGTCGGTGGTTGAGTTTTGTTGTGACCTGCAGTATGGTGTTTAAAACAACAGTTTTTTGTTGATTCGTTGTAAAAAAGTTAATATTTGTTCAGAGTTAAATACACATTTGGCCTTGAACACAACAAAACAAGATTTTCTGGTGCCTACTTCGCCTGAATAGTAATACAGCCTTTCCTGAATGAGCAGATGACTTTAATTTGCTAAACACATGGTTTTACTATGAATGAGTATATCATTGTTAAACATTATAGGAGGAACTGCATTATTGCTAGTCTTACGTGATATCATCACTGAATTTATATAGTTAATCAGGTTTTTGTCACACTAATCTTGAATTGTAACTAAGTTAGTGTTGTATAATCACCTCAAAGAAATGTCGTTTCTCTGAACTTCGCTTTGAGCAAGTTTGTCCTGAGAACATTGCCATTACTCCAAACAATGAGAATTGAGGAAATCCCGAACATATCTCTGTTTAGTTATCAAGTAGTCAATCGGGTGCCAGTTTTTACATTGTTGATGTATCCATGACGTTTTTAGTCTATCTGGGAGGCGGAACAACATTTTCAATCATAGTAAAGTCATTTTCGCAAACCTGTGAGAGCAGCATTACTCCATTAGTTTGATATTTGCCAACACCATTCCTTCCATCTAAACCTCTACATGTCTTAATTTCCGTGTCAATCCTTGCACCCTCAATGATTATCTAGTCTTCATTGGGTGTTTCTTTTCCGAATAACATGGAACAAATCAGAGTGAACTCTTTTCATACCTTTATCCAGATCGGTCGTGGTAAGGACATATGCACATGTAATGGTAAAAATGCGGTCCTGCAGAAAGAGCATCTGCAAAGTGTTCCATAGGGACGGAAGGAGAGCCGAAATTCTTGGAGTTCAACAATGTCCAGGCCATAAATCGTGTACGATGTTTCAGGCTCTGAACATGTTGTGTGTCAAGCAATGTTCTAACATTCCATTTCGTGAATGTCATTCTTGTTATTCTTAGTCAAATTTTATCCCCAACATCTCAGCCAACTTTGATGGGCTGGTTTGTGCTTACATTGTTTAGGTTATCTGTGGAATGCACAGTGATGCAAAACACCCTATCGACCTTAAGCACCTTTTTTCCAGTGGTCTGGCGATTCCTCAACAGATGGAGCAGCGATGTTTGCAGTGGAGAGGCCTTGCGCAACTCTATTGCTGGGAATAACGTATCCCTCTTCCACAACACGGTTTTAGCTGATGGTGTATTGTTAGAGGAACACATTTCTGACGGATTTCATGTTCCTACACATTTGCAAACTTAGCATGCTCCAGTTTCTGAGAGTAGGTGGGTCAAGATCTAGCATAGACCACAAGTAGTCACTCGACTTGTTGATGTCCAACTGAACACTGCAATGTGGTGTATTACTGAAACCCTAAAGTCAACCTCAATACCCTGGCTGCTCGTGTTGTCACAAATCTCTCCTCCACCCATTCGCCACAATGCTGCATCCCTGCAGGAAGTCCTGCGAATCAATGAAAAGAGTCACCTTCACATTCATCAAGACCTCAACAACGTCCCTCGTCATTGTTTGAAGTTCCAAAAGCTATTTTGCACACATGTGTTTAACATTTAATGAAGTGAGTTCAACCCCGATGAAACTTGGAGAGCTGAGTTCAAAAGAACTCAGAAACAAATACCTTGTGAAAGATCCAACACAGAAGATCCCTGGGTTTGATCTTCCACAAAACTCATGTCTACCCTACACCACATCCGCACAATCCATAGTAGATGTGGATACCTGATGGACAAATTGAAAGTAAAAAAATTATCCAATCTTCGACTGTTCTCATTACGAACTGATCATATAACGTATAGCGACGCAATGCCCAATTCACAAATACAAAGGAGGCATCACAGGAATGATGCACTCCACTGCTCCTGACGCGGCTATCTGGATTCACCACCTGAATGGGAAATTGTTGTTGTTGCCCTGCATCTAAGTCAGCCATACGACAGTTACACTTCCATATGCAATAGGCTACATTTCTGAAAGTAACCATTCTTCAAAGCACATATGTTAGTAGCAAAAAATTTGCACAGATAAGGATTAGATAAGGATGTGCTTGAGCAACTAAATGCACTCTGCTTATCATCTATTTTGTAATTTTAATTCATATAGCACCTTGATTAAGGTTCTGAGCAATTAATAAAATACAGTATGTGTACAACAGAATAGTGAGAGATGAGGTGATTTCATGAGCAGCATGGTAGTGCATGATGAATATGATGGTACGTGAAACAAACGATGATGAAACTGACAATGAGCGGCTATGATGAGTGAGTATGACGAATAGGTATGAAAGATGGGAAGAGGGATTATGGTGTTAATGATATGGAAGGGAGGGGTAACAGGAGTTTGAGTAAGCAAGACAATAGCATGGAGGGCAACTTGTTCCAGTGTGAGGGGGCCAGAAACGAGAAAGAAATGAATATTGTCTCAGCAATTATGTTCCCTGCTGCAGTCTACCAATGTGGACTCCGAGTGGCAGCCATCCCTACATGGAATGAGGTTCATGCAGCACCGGTGTGCAAGTGGGAAATCTGTCAGTCGGGGCGATGCTGACGTGTTCAATTTCCCCCTAAAATTGGAGAATTCTCAGGTAACATGGTAGATTGGTAGATTATGCCCCCCGTATTATGACTCACCCCCTGACCCCTCCTGGTGTTATCCTGGTCACGTGACTTACCCCTTCCCCATCCAGGTGCTGCTCTCGTTACGTGACCCACCCCCTGCCCCCTCTAGGTGCATATATTTTTGTGTGCCTATGATGGTGCGGATCAGGAGTATATTGGTTAGAGCGCTGCTCTATGATTTCAATTCCCGCTCACGGCCAACACCAGTGACCAGTGGCGGCTCCTGCAAAATCTCTCAGGGGGGGCAAATGTCTGGATGATTGATAAGGATAAGGTCCACCCATGCAATGGATAAATTAACAGCTTAAGCATGTAAAGGCAACTTCACTTCTTTAATATTAATGAAAAATAAAGTGACTCTTACAATACATCTTGTTTGTTTCTATACTCACTATTAAAACAAACCACTCAAGTTTATTTTATTAAATATTCCACTAGATTTTGATTTAAAACTTTCGTGACTGCAGGGATTCATCTTCTTGGTTCTTTCGGTAAAGTCGCGTAGAAGGGAAGTAATAAAATAATAAAAATAAAACATAATAAAATTATTCTCACGACGTTTCGGCCACAACGCAAGCAGCCGTC